TTGATTGAATACGTGAAAAGGGAGGTAAGGTTTGGGGGTACGGAGCATGTCCCTGAGCCCAAGGTGAGACCAGAGTGGCCCCTTTGATTGAATACGTGAAAAGGGAGGTAAGGTTTGGGGGTACGGAGCATGTCCCTGAGCCCAAGGTGAGACCAGAGTGGCCCCTTTCATGAATTGTGAAAAGGGAGGTAAGGTTTGGGGGTACGGAGCATGCCCCTAAGCCCAAGGTGATACCAGAGTGGCCCCTTTCATTGAATTCGTGAAAAGGGAGGTAAGGTTTGGGGGTACGGAGCATGCCCCTAAGCCCAAGGTGATACCAGAGTGGCCCCTTTCATTGAATTCGTGAAAAGGGAGGTAAGGTTTGGGGGTACGGAGCATGTCCCTGAGCCCAAGGTGAGACCAGAGTGGCCCTTTTAATCGATCTGCTTCCTCCTGGCTAGCATGCCTTTAATTGTTTTAAATCCCTCCAAAGAGGAGGCAGCAAATCTTAAGCAGAAGTAAGGGCAGAGAGAGGGCAGTGGCTACAGCGAAGGTTACTGGGCATGCTCAGTTCGGGTGAGCATGCTCAGTATACCCAAAGTAGGGAAACGGGAGCAGGGTTTGTTTGCGACGCTGTCTGGCAGAGTCCTTGTAACCCCAACAAGGCTGGGTCCAGGATTCCTGGAGGGCTCGACCCCCAACCTTGCTGTGGTCACCTAGCTCAGGTGCTAGGGTGTCCCCACTGCGGGGTACTCTCTCTGCACTGGATGCTTTCCAGACCCACTGATCATTACACACGATTTAAAGCAATACAGGAATAAGGAAAAATGGGAAAGGTTAAAGGAAACACATCATCCCACTCTGTGCCAGGGAACATAACAAACAGTGTCTCTGGAATGTCAGGGCAGTTCACAGTCTGTTTCTTGTAGGTCCCAGGCCTCCTTCTCAGGCTCTGGCTGTGCTACAGAGATGCTGCGGGTTGGACACTTGCTCTGCCGGTGGCCACATGCTCTCAGGCTCTAGGTGGCAGGACTCTTCTTCCCAGCGTCGCCCCCGCCCTGTCAGGGTTACAATCCCCCTCCAAGTCTGGCCTGCAGAGCCTCTTGGCTGAGGCGTCTCCCTGTGCTGGGCCCACTGTCCAGGGTCCCCCTCACTCTCCCCAGCTGCTCACCGCACCCAGCTCCGGACTGCTCCAGCCCCGGCTCCAGCTCCACTCTGCCTCCACTCTGCTGCTGCTCTGCCTCCAGTTCCCTGGGCTGCTTCTCTAGCCCCTCTGGCTCTGGTTGCTATAGCTCTGCTCCCAGCAGTTTAGCTCGGGCCCCTGTTCTCTCCTTTGCTTGGCCCTACTCTGTCTGATCCAGGCAATTCCAGCTCACCAGGAGGACGGGACCCCCGGCCTCCTGACTCCATGATTAACCTGCCCGCCCTGTCAATCAGGCTGACCTGGAGCATTGGCCTCTCTGCATTGTTCCTGGGGACTGTCAGTCTCAGGGTCCTGATTTCCCATGGACCTTTCCCCTGTGCTCTCCTCCCTGCAGTCAGCCAGCACGCGGCTCTAGGCAGGGGCACCCGCTGCTAATGCCCAGCGCTCCCATTCCCTCCAAGGGGCTCTGGGCTCGGGCTCTAAGCTCCGGGGACACAGGATCAGGCGGGAGTTGCTTTCCGCCCCCGTGACCCGACCTTTCCGTCGCTTGCGGGCAGATTGCGGCGACAGCTTTGCGCCTGGGCTGGGGCCAAGACGCGGAGCTGGGTGGTGCCTGCGGGCCAGCTCCTCCCAGGCTCCCCGAGCTACACAGGCACCGGGCGCCCCTTGGCTGTGACTCAGCCACGCCCTGGTGGCTGCTGCTGCCGCGCTGCCCGGCATCCAGGGACACCCCGAGCGGCTGCGGGGCGCGCTGGGATCATGCTGGCCGCTCTGCGCGGGGGAGGGGGCGGCTCCTACGAGCTCCTCCCTCCGCTCACCCAGAAGGTAACCCGGCCCCGCTGGGCTAGGGAGGGGTCCCGGGCGGACCCGGGGCGGGGGCGCTACTAGGTGGGAGGTTTCATGGAGAGCCCGGCTGGAGACTGAGCCCCGCTCTCCCCGTGCAGCCCGGCAGGGCAGGGATGGGGTCTGGCGGCAGGCAGCGGACAGGGAGGGGAGCTTGTGCTAGGGCCGCCTGGCCTGTGCTGTCCTCCCCCCCCGTTCGCTCACCAGGCAGCTGTACAGTGCGCAGACCCGCCCCTCCCACTACCTGCATCAGGCTAAAATCACCTAATGGCTGGCTTGGTGGGGCTTGTTCGAGCGGTTTCCTCGGAGCAGTTACATGCAATCACTGCTGGAGGCAGGATCTCGGGCTTCATGGTCCCATTTTTCAAATGGAAACCTGGTCGTTATAGGAGACAAAACTGGGGAGGGGGAGTGCGCGGAAAAAAAAAAAAGGTCCTAATCAAGAGTTAAAAGGATGGGGGAGGAGGAAGGTGATTGCGGGATAGGGACTATCTTCTGAGGGCTCTTTAAAATGTGGCATTAGGTAAGTATACCGGCTTGGAAATAGGAGTTAGGACTGTGTCAGGTCCAAGTGAGTCAATCTCACATCCCCTTTCTTCTGGCAGTTGTTTATCCGAGGTACTTTGCACTTCTTGCTCCCTTCACTCTGATAACTCCAAGTGACTCTCACATCACCTTTCTTTGGGAAGCCTTGTAACATTCCTCCCCAGTGTACACCTCTGCCCCCTAGAAAAAAAAACATGCTAGGAACCTTGCTCTTCTTGCTTCCTCCACTTTGGCAAATCTTTCCTTCTATCACTCTTTTTATAGTTTTAGGATTCTCTCTGTCCTGTGCATTTTCTTTCCTCCCCTTTACAGTCTCTTTTGTGTCTCCCTCAGGCTAGTATTAGAATAAGTAAAATTCCATGAACAGAATGTAAACTGATTTCCGAGTGAGAGAAATCAACAAGAGGATGCGTCGTTTCTGTGCTTATCTTTCCCTTCTCATCCCTTTTCTGTGTTGTCTGTATAATTGTAAGCCTTTTGGGGCAGAGATGGTCTCTCACTACATGTTCGAACAGTGCTTAACCCAATGGGACTTGAGGTGATACTTTAATATAGAAAAAAAAAACAGTTTACACTCTTAAATTAGAATTACAGTATCAGGGCCTGAGTGGTACATATGTAAAAGGATTTGCAGGCTGTAGTTTGGATCAAAGTGAGAGACTGGTGTGAAATTAATACATATGTTATGTCCTAAAACATATTATAATATCAAAATAATTTAAATTAAATAATAAAAAAAGCAGTACCAGTGGGCTGCCAAATTGTAAAGAAAATCAAACCACTGGCATGGTGTAAGTCACTGGAGAAACACCTGCAACCAGAGTTTGTAAAGCTAACCAGCTTTTGACAGCAGTAGCTTTTTTTCAGGGGCAAAGTATATTTTCCTTATTTCACTTTATTCAACCAGTTAAGTTCAATGACTAGTTCATTTAAAAAGTTAAGAAACCAGCTGGGAGTTGAAAATGCAAGGCTTGTTTTCCTCTTCCAGTCTTTGAATAAAAACTAGGTGCATGAGGATGAGATCTACTAGTTCTAAAATCCTGACTACAGATACTACTATATTTGATTGTTTAAGAAATCATTTAGTTTTAAATGACAAGCATGTTTTGATAAACTTAGATAAACTTTTTTCTTATTTATCCAGCCCATTTAAGGTACCGGTAATTTTATTTAACAATTCAAACATTTCAAATGGTGGTTTTTTTGCATTTATGATTAAATTGTAATTTCCAGCTTGACACAAATCACATATGAAAAAAAATTAAACATCATCTAGTTAAAAAAAAAAAAAAGCATCACTCACCAGTTTATCAAATAATACATGTAATATTTAAGAATCTAAATAAAAATAAATTAAATTATATAATTGCTCAAATAAATGTGTATAGATATAATGTGTCCTGGTTAACAAAAAGAAGCTCCAAATTTAGTGTGAAGGCTATATTTAGTTGCAAATCAACATGTTTTAATGGTTACCAATCAGTGAGACTCAACTTTCTTTAGGAAAATAACTAAAAAATACAAATGCAAAATAAGATTAAAATCAGTTATTTAAATGAAGATTTCTTTCTTGATGATTTAAATTATGATTAAAATCTGTGATTTAAATCAATCTACCTTGATGATAACACTGAATCATTAGGGTTATGGTAATATCTGCACTCAAAATATGTCCTCTATCCTTAGTAAAAAGTGCTGTTGCCTCTGGATAAAATATTTTTAGAAAAATTTAATTGAGCAATGATTTTCTTGATTGGACTGCAACTTTGGAGACTCAGTCAACCCCATTAAGGGTCTCTGTGTACTACAAATTAAAAAAAGTTAGCAAAGAAACATTTCCTTAATCATCAACATCATCATCAGAAAGTGCCTTCACTTCAGATAATTCTCTCCATTTCCCCTTCCTCACTCCCCAAATTAGAAAAATTCCCTAATTTGAAAAATTAAAAACAACTCATAGGGCTTAAAGGGTATCTTGTTGCTCAGTCACCATCTCACTTGGCTCATTGAAGAGCACCTCCATGAGCTAGGAACGGGAAACCAGTCTATGTAACAAGATGGTAATGCTGTATAATAAAACTGAACAACAAAAATCAGATACTTTTACTAACTAGTTAGTAAAAGTAACACCTAATATTATTATAACTGAAAAAATAGTGATTCCCATTGTTTTGAGGCTTTAATACAGTGAAGGGTGAAAAATACAAAAATAGGAAAATGTGTTTATAAAAGCACAAAGATTGGCAGGGGAACTCTGGAACAGGTGTAATATCTAAAAGTACTTTTAACTCGATTAGATTTCAGGTTAATGCTTTTAAATAGGATCAGTGTCAGAAAGTGAAAAGTTAGTGACTGGTGTGAGACAGTGCTGCAAACTTGTCCTGATATACATCCTTTGAATTAATGGGAAGGCAAGGGATGAATATGAGTTCAGAGTTTGGCTCGGTGGGTCTTCCTTTGAAGTGTTTTCTTGTGGAGTTCTATGCATCTCCTGTTAGGGTCCATTAAAATTTTGCTACATATAGAAATGGGAGCATGACTGGACCAATAGTAAAAGAGAGGCTGATTACTTCAGATTTGTATCATGCATTTGAATGATAAATGTACAATATGTATAATCCAGCAATACTAATTAACCTTTACAGGTATTAACAATTTATGGAGGGTGAGTTTCTTTATTTGAGAATTACATTTGGGAAGATATTTTTTAAAATGGAGATCTTTAATTAGTCTGTTTCTTGGATTATCATTGGTTATTTGGTGTTGCTTGAAAGAACAACAGAAATTTTTGTGAATACATAGTGGGTTCTTCAGAGTACTGGTCATGTGGTGTCCTTGCAAAATGGGTTTTTAAAAGCCACCTCAGAGATCTGGAAGTGCAATTCCAATTAGAAATTAATGAACAAGGCATCCAATTTTTTTGGCAGATTTGAAAATCTGAGCAATAGAATGCATTGTATTGTATTCCTCATGACTAAAGGCAGGCCTGTGTTAAGACCCATCTTTAAGTGTGAACAATTTATTTTCCCCTGATAGTTCAGTTGGCCAAATAGTAATTTTTAGTTTGACAATTTTTAAGGTAGCTTTGCTTATGTTAGGCATGATTCACTGTTGCTGTAGTTGTTTACATCAGTGCAAAGTGGGTAAAAAACCATTATCAGATCAATGTAAAATGGTGGTGGAATTTTACATCCACTTTCCATTGGAGATGAGTTGTGCCCATTGAATCAAGTAGCCTTAAACCTCTCTCTCATTCCATGTGTCTTCTGTGTTAAAGAGAGAAGGAGAAATAGGTGTGGCACTTGATCATGATGAACAGATAATCATAGCAATAAATTCTAGTATTCAGGTCTAGTTTTTTTGTTTTACATAGAAAATATAGGTTATGTCACTGGAATATTAAATATGAAGCAAATTTATTTTTAGTTACAGCTTTGTGTACTGAACTTGGAGTTTATTATCTGAGATCTATAAATTTAACTCACATTAACATTGATCCAGGGGAGAATGGATCTCTTAATGCCTAAGTTTCTAAGAAAAAATGTGAAGTACAGATTCATTTCCCTTTGCCCTTCAAATAACATGAATTGTGTTTGGTTTATTTTTATTAATAGAAATGCAGTCCTGAAGCAAATGCTTCCTTCTTCAGTAAGATAACATATTCCTGGTACAGCAGGTGAGAATTTAAGTTATTTATTAGTGCTTATGCTCAGTTGGTTTAGGCACAAGTCATACATGCATTCCATCCATTTATGCACCTGGCATTTTAATCCAGAATGAGAGTGCTATTAAAACAGTGTTCTAAAGCCAGAGTTTACAATTACTGTAAGTCACTTCTTAACAATTACTTTCTAATGTACTAGTCCTGTTGTTCTAGGCCTATAATGTTTTAGGTTGCCTGATTCTTACTAGTAACAAACAGATAATGTTTAGCACTTTAATTAACAATTATGAAGTGCTCTAAGTCAGTGGGAGCTATTCACAAGATCCCCTTCATTAGAAAATAGACATGTATGTTTCCCAGTGTTGTGTGTGGCAATACAATTACAAGAGTAAATATTTTAGTGTGACCTACAGAAAATTAGCCAAGTAACCCTGTTAATCAGTTATATGACTAATTTCCTGTGTATTCTTCTTTAATGTTTGTTCTCTTCTTCTCTCCAATCATGTGTCATTCTAAACAAGTAATTAAAAGAACCATCTCCTTGTGAGGAAGGTATGCTATACTTAGGTATAGCATACCTTCATATGAACTGAAAGCTCAGCTACTTCAGGTTGGGCTGACTACTGTCATTTAACATTCAGTAGGATATTTCAAGCAACTTCACATGTTTTGTCTCCTGACTATTACTCATTATTAGCACTTCTTCTACATCATGTGCTTCATTTGGAAAGACTGTCAGTCAAAATAAACAGTAAGGCATATAAGTGTATAGTGTAAGCCTATAGTCATGAGAGAGAGGAATATTAATAATATGATTAAAGTCAGTTTACAAGTAACAGTTGCTTTTTGCTTTGTTCTACATTACTATTGTAATATTCTTAAACTTTAATATCTGATTCTTTTTGCTTAGCCTAATTTCAAGCTTTCACATTATATGGTGAAAACCTAACTCCATTAAAGTTAATGGGAGTTTTGTCATTGATTTCAGTGGACCCAGGATTTAATCCATGGTCTTGAATACAGTAATGTTGCAAGTTAAAGTTTTTAGTTCTCGCACAATTTGCATAAAATTTATAACTCCTCACTTTCATCACAGACATAGACTTATGAATATTACAACTTTCTTCAAAAATAGAAAGATCCAAATTTTGCTTAAGGTTTTGATTTTCTTGTCTGTCTCTGCAAAACTTGGTGATGGAAAAGCTTACCCGTGTGCTCTATGTACACGCATATATGCTCTAATCTCCTTGAGGGAGCTCCTTAGGATTTCTGTAAAATAATTCCTCACAACTTGTTGCAATTTAAACTCTAAGTGTCCTTATTGGAGAGCCCTAAAAGATTTATTTAAAATGTTGTCTTATTAGATTACGTTTTAAATAAGTCTTGTATTACTCTCCAGTAAAGTGTAGTTGCAGCCTTCTCAGTCCCAGGATATTAGAGAGACAAGGTGGGCATAGATGACTCGTGCCTCCCCATACTGGTAGAGCACAATCTAAAGAGGAGGACACGTGACCGCCCCACGTGTCTCCTCTCTTCAGTGACCCCCTCCCCCCCCCGCCCTGCGCCCCGTCCGGGGCTGCCATGGTCCTGCTCCCCCCATGTTACCTGTGGGGGGAGGCTCTGTCCTTCTCTCCTCACACATCTCCCCCAGCACGTTTGTCTGCTCTCCCTGGCAGCCAGGTGAGGAGTGGGACGGAGCCACTTCTGTTTGAGAGAGCCTGGCTGGAAGGCAGTGGCAGCCTGCACCCTGCCCTGGCTCAGCTGCCAGGGACAGGGGCCGAACATGCTGGGAGGTACAGGGGGGCTCTGGCTCACTCGGCCCCTGTCCCTGGCAGCAGGGCCTGGGTGGGGGGCAGCCCACTGCCACCCCGGCTGCCAGGGACAGGCTGGGCAAGCTGGAGCCCCCTCTCCACCCCTGCTCCTGCTGAAGCCCCAAGCCCCGGCAGGTGTGCCCTGTGAGGCTGAAGCCCCAAGTCCCCTCTCCTCACTGGGCAAAAGCCCCTACCCTACCACTCCGCTGCAAGGCAGAGGTCCAGAGCTTCCTCCACCCTCCTTTCCCGGGCCTGATAGGTGGAAAATGGGATGGGGGCGTGGAGGGCTCTGCAAGCCACACTTTAACTGTAAAAGAGCCGCATGCAGCTCGTGAGCCACAGTTTGGCCATCCCGTAATAAGCCATAAATCCAGCGTTTCTGATCAGTCCATGATTTTTCGTCTCTAGCAGAGTAATGAATTTAAGCTCCCAGGCTTGTCTTTTGAAAATGTAGTGGAGCTTTCCTTTATGGATGAGAACTGAGAGGTCAGATAACGCTTTGTGAAAAGTGTTCACCCAGAGGTGATGGGATGTTTTTGTCTTTTATCATTTTCCTCTGTGAGTTCATTTGAGGGCATAGTGATTGTCTGGTTTCACCCACATAGTTTTTCTTGGGGGATTTAGTGCACTGGATGAGGTATGCTACATGTTGTGATAGGCATGAATAGGATCTCTGGATCTTGAAAGGTGTGTTGTTGGGGATGTTGATCACTGTCGCAGTGGAGATATGTCTGCAGGTTTTGCATCTGCTGTTCAGGCAAGGTCTGGTGCTGCTTTGAGTTGGTGTGTCCTGGTCTGTAGGGAGCTTGCTTTTGATGATGAGCTTGGAGAGGTTGGGGGGTTATCTGAAATCCAGAAGCAGGGGCGTTCAGGAAAGATTTCTTTCAGGATGGGATCCCCATCGAGTATGGGTTGTAGTTGTTTGATGATACACCATCTGGGTTCCAATGTGGGGTGGTATGTAATGATTAGGGGTGTGTAATCAGAGGGAGTTTTATTTCTGTATTGAAGCAGGTTCTCTCAGGGTATTTGGGATGCCTGTTTCATGATGTGATCTACTTCTCTGATGGCATGTCCTTGTTTTGGCAGAGGTGGTTTTAAGTGTGTTAAGGTCTATAGACTGTGACTTTCTCCTCTGAGCATATTCTGTGGTATCTGAGTGCCTGCCTGTAGATAACAGATTTATTGGTATGTTTGGGGTGGCTACTGGATCTATGAAGGTAGGTGTGGGGGTTTCTTTTATATGGTTATCTGAATGGTTCCATTGTTTAAGATGATGATGGTGGCCAGGAAGTTGATTCTAGTGTGAGTGTGTTCCAGAGAGAGTTTAATGGATGGGTGGTGGTTGTTGAAGTTGTGGTGGAAATCTATGAGGAGTTTAAGCTGTTTGTATCTGTTCCTCCTTGCATTTTTGCTGTGATGCTAGGAGTTCCTTTCCCAGACCTGAAGAAGAGCTCTGTGTGGCTTGAAAGCTTGTCTCTGACTAACAGAAGTTGGTCCAATAAAAGATATTGCCTCACCCACCTGGTCTCTCCAGTAAAGGACACTTAGGGTTTAAATAATATTAGGCTTCTGCAGTCTGACCTGGGAAATCTCAAACTGATTATTATATAACTAACTCATAACATTGCATCATGCTTCCATGGGACCCAGAATGAGATTAAGGCAATCTGGGGCTTTAGGCACAACCCAAATTGGGCCCTTCAATGGACTCATCTGTCTTTTGGGGAAGCACCAGGATTCAGAATTGAGACCAATGGGGCAGTTCACTGCTCGTAGAGGTATTGTTTCAGGTTCTCCCCTGACTCAGACAGGTACCGTTATACTCAGGTAACATTTTCAAAATTTTCTTTGAATACCTGACATCTAGAAACGTTTTTTTTTAATGAATGCTGAAATTCTGATCTCACCATTTGACTCCAGGAGTTGGGACTCTAAGCAATGACTTAGAGTATGTATGCCTTAATCTTGTCATGTTGGGACCACGGTAGACCTATGCAGTGACATTTGGTTGATTCATATCTGTTGCTTTCCAAGCTTTTGGAACTTTCTTAAAAAATTAATTGACTTTGACATCAGCATTCATTTTTGTAGATTTTCCCATTTGGTTGCTCTGCCCCATGTCCAGCCAGTCATGCTTCCAAAACCTACAGGTTCCTTTCATTGTGGGTTCAGGGTGATTACGACCATTATTTACACCCATTTCAGCTCTTCTGTTTCTAACAGCAAAGGGGATAATATGGCCCAAAATTTAAACAAATCAAGATCTATTGTAAGCTTATTGTAGACTTATACTAAAACCCAATTTCTGTTTGTCCCTGAGTAAAAATAAATTAAAAAAAAATTATAAAAAAAAGTAACCTGGTTAAGGATGAGTCACAGCAGAGTGGAATCCTATTATAAAGAAAAACATTTTCTCTGTAGATCAGGGATAGGAAACCTTTCAGAAGTGGTGTGTCGAGTCTTTATTTATTCACTTTAATTTAAGGTTTCGCGTGCCAGTAATACATTTTAACATTTTTAGAAGGTCCCTTTTTATAAGTCTATAATATATAACTAAACTATTGTTGTATGTAAAGTAAATAAGGTTTTTAAAATGTTTAGGAAGCTTCATTTAAAATTAAATTAAAATGCAGAGCCCCCCCAGACTGGTGGCCAGGATCCAGGCAGTGTGAGTGCCGCCGAAAATCAGCTCAAGTGCCGCCTTTGGTGCGCGTGCCATAGGTTGCCTACCCCTGCTGTAGATCATCATAAGTGGACGGTCACTAACCAGATTTGCTATTGAAATAACTAGAAATTTTTATTCTCCTTAACTTCATAACTACAGATGGATGCTGAAATGCAGGTTTTCCTCATTTGAGGGTGTTCAGGTCTGGGGATTTTTGATTTGGGCCCTTGTCTACTATACCTATAGTTTCAGTATAGTCAAATTGACTTTAGGTGGGTTCCACAATTTTGCCTTTTATATTATACATACTGTATTTTTTATTGTGAATGTAGAGTTTATTTATAAGTATTGTATTATGTGTATAAAGTTTCTCAGTTAGGATTCCTGTTTGATTTGACTGCTTTGTGTGTCTTGTAATAGTTCACTTGTTAAAGTGTTTATTTTCCTTTCAGAATAATAACTTTAGGCTACAAGAAACCATTGGAAAGAGAGGACCTGTTTGAATTGAATGAAAGTGACTCTCCGTATACTGTATGTCCTAACTTTGAAAAGCATTGGAGGAAGGAACTCTTAAAGGCAACAAAAGGATTAAAGGTAGTGATGAAAGCAATAAGTAACATCATTAACCATTATCCTTTTCTAAATTTATATTAGGCATCTCCAAAAATCCTTGTCAAAACTTGATTAAATTCTTGTAATGATTTAAATCAAATATCTTAAGAGCACCATATAGATTTCCATACATTCTGCCCTCCCTTGATGGGTGTACTAGTTCAGAATACCAGACAAAAGTGCTTCAGTGTATATGTTTAGCTCCCATTAGCAATGGTAATGAGTCTTGCTCTAAGGCAGTGGTTTTCAACCTTTGTGTGCAGGTCCCTGGGGGACCGCAGACTATGTCAAAGGGTTCCGTGAAAGATGACTATGAAAATACAATATTTCAGCTCCCAAAAAAGGGAATTGGTGTCATTACCATATATGCCCACAGTTTAGCACCCTTTCTCACGCTGCATCAAATGCCGTGCTGAGCACATGCAACATTTATCGTTGAATTCTGTTCAGTCAATTTTCAGTCTAAGACTTCTATGGTAGTGGTCCGCGGACTACAGGTTCAATTTCCAAAGGAGTCCACACCTCCATTTGAAATTTAGGGGCCCACAAATGAAATAAGGTTGAAAATCACTGCTCTAAGCAAAAACCAATTGTATAAGGTTCTGGCAACACTTGTGCACCATTGCAAGGAGTGGTGTGTGTAGCTGCAAGGTGTATTAAAACCATTAGTAAGATTTTTGTAGTGTAGAGCAGGCTTCAATGTAATGTTTAAATGAAATTTCCTGGGTTGTTGTTTTGTAGTAGGTGTTTGTGGGTTTTTTGTTTATTTTTGAAGTTTCAAATGATGGAGTTCTTTTTTTTACATGTTTGGCTAGATACTGCAGGAATGCCATAACCTTAGGAAGTCTATATGAAGAGCCTCTGTCCTGAGAGTCTTAGGAGCATACAATGCTCACCATTCCCAATAAGGCAGACAAACTTTTCTTGATGTCCAGTCATGATCAGATCATAGGGCACTTTGGCTTCTGCATGATATGGTCGGCAGGGTGTTGAGCTCTGGCAGCTCTGATCTTGGGGCTGTGCCCCAGAGTTAGGTTCCAAAAGGCTTCAGACCTTACAGGGCCATTTCTTTTCTGGATGCCACCTTTCTAACCCCATCTGATTTGTGGAAAGTATCTCTCCCCCCCGACCCCCCTCGCTCTTGTAATACCCAAGAAGGGCAGATTTGTTTTTGCTCAGACTTTATCAGAATATTCATTTTTGATTAGAACCTTAACTTGGAAAATTTCAGTGTGCCAGGTTAAGATTTAGAAAGCTATTTAGCAACTGACATCACACCATTAGAATAGAAATTCTTAGGCAACCTTAAATAAAGCAGTTGCTACAACTCCCACTGTAAAGCAAAAAGATACTTATTAGTGTTTTTTCAGTGTAACTTCTTACTTATCTGGATCTATATACAGTACAAAAGGCTTCCTCCAATACATCTAACAGATTTTTGGATATTCCAACTCTCATTTTTTGAGGAAGACCTTTTCTGTTGAAGGCCTACCCATGGTAATAAATTGCCTTTTTGTGATACTCAAAGATGATTGCAGAATCCTTATTCCTCCTTTCATAAAGGATTACTAGATAGTCTAAATTATTTTTACACAGAAATATTTCTACCTCTCACTGAGTTGGCAGAAGTATATTCCACAGCACCATAGGTGTGCCCATTGCTCTAGGTTGACACTCTGCATTTTTGTGTTAAAATCTTTGTCTTAATTTTGTGTGTCTCTTTTGTAAATTGGCAGGCTCCTTATGACAAAGAGGTGATATCAGAGAAAGCAAGTTTCCAGAAACCATCTCTGCTTTACCCTCTATGGCAAACATTTAGATTTTTATTGATTAAAGTTGCCATTCTGAAAGTTGCAGCTGATATTCTGGCCTTCATGAGTCCACAGATAATGAAGTAAGTTTTTTTTTAATGTGCTCCATTTTGTGTTCAGGACAGCAATAATAATAAAGCTAAAGGATTCCCAATATCAAGAAATTTAGTTCTGCTAACACAACTTTTTAGTGGCAAGGTTTATTAGAGCAAATGTTTCGGTAACTTAAAATTATTTGCGTTAAATATTTTTATAAGATTTTTTGAGGGATTAACAAACTTCCTCTAAGAATGTTTTAATGCCAGTTTGTGACCAACAAACAAAAGATACTTCTGATATTTATAGGCTGAGATGTTAGGTCATTAAGAAAAGGTCATTAAGAAATGAGTCCCTGACTGAATTCCACCCAGCCCATGCCTAGCAGATTACATGCAGCCGTTTCCATGAAGTTACTGAAATGCAAATATTGATAGTCACCGTTTGACAGTTCTAGCTTGAATTTGTAATTTCCTTCATGCATATTTTCTTAAATATATGGCTGATTGCTTATTACATCTATAGAACTAAATAGCATTCTTTCAATAAATACCAATTAGGGAGCTCCTTCCTGCCTTGCATTGATATAATACCATAGTACAGGAGCTAATAAGGTGAAAAAAATGTGGATTAGTTATGAATTATGAACCCTATTGACAGCAGAGATGCATTTCTCTCTTTGCGGCGTTACATGGCTGAATATGATGACACTCAAATCCATGTTGCTATTGATATTGAAATATCAGATGTTATTACTGTATTAAAGAAAACAATGAAATATTTAAAAGTGTGTGTGTGTTGGGGGGAAGCTTGAGTTACAGGAGCTAAAAAAAAAAACACGGTGCAAATTATCCTTTTCCATACAACGGGACAAGGAAGAAAGTAAGGAAATACAGATACACTCGAAGTGGCTCATCTCCTGAGAGGTTGGGCGAAGGTTTCTTTTCCGAGGAACACAAGGTAGAAACCACCAGAAAAGAGAGTGGCTCGTGGAGTTAGCCAAATTTCCCCCCTGAACTCAAGGCTGTCAACCTGTATCTCTGAAGGATTATTGTATTATAGAAAACGAGTACACGTCTTATTAAAAATAAAAAAAATGCAGAGGATTGTGGGGAGGAAGAGGAAATGAAGGAGACATTTTAGTCACCGAAGTATGTTTTAAAAATGTACATACTGTACGAAGAAGCTTAGTGTGTCATGTGTCGAAAGGAGGCTCATGAGCCTTTCCTCAAACAAAGATGTCTCAAGATCTTGACTCTGAGGTAGATTTCAGGTAAATAGCCCCTATATGACTTAATCAGAGCAGATACACTATATAGCAATTACTCCATGAACAATACTTTACTCCAGGGGTTGGCAACGTTCGGCACGCGGCTCGCCAGGGTAAGCACCCTGGCGGGCCGGGCCAGTTTATTTACCTGCTGACGCGGCAGGTTCGGCCGATCGCGGCCCCCACTGGCCGTGGTTCGCCGTCCCGGGCCAATGGGGGCGGCGAGAAGCCGCAGCCAGCACA